TTCATGCAAATAGTAACAAAATTAGGACTAAAATAATGGATTAAAGCATATAAAATGCATCTTATCAAATTCCTCCAAACTTAAGTTTTGCTAGTATTTGAGCAAAATAAAAAGAATAAAATAAATAAATAAAATAAAATAAAATAAAACCTCACTTATTTTCGTAGAAATCATGATTGCACTTAACATGTGCAACAAGTCTTTAAACCCTTGGGTTATCCTAATAGTATGTCTTGTAAGGATTGTCAACAAATCTATTCACAAAATTGCAATGCAAAAATGCATCTACATGGTATACATGCAAAGAAAAATAGGAATTGAAGATCAATTAGATATAAAGTCTCAAATATTTAAGAGTTTCATTTACTCACTTAATCTCAACTCAAAATACCTTATCCTCTTAAAGTTGATACTCCAACCTATTCTTCACACCATTTGTCAAAAAAATGTAAGCCATCAAACTAGGTGTACAAAACACAAATGTTGACCCATCAAATTTGGCTTGAACAAACCCCTATGAGAGAAGAAATGAAGTAAACTTGTGAAACCATGCTCTTCAAGTTGTAAAGTGCTTGTTGCAACTTACAAACGTAATTCAAATGTTTCAAATCCACAAATTCAACAGGCTGAGACATATAAACTGTTTTAAATAGAGTATCATTAAGAAAAGCATTCTTCACATATAGATGAATCAACCAAAAATACATTATTGTAAGAGTAAGTACAGTGCAAATAGTAACAGGTTTGACAATCTAATTGAATGTGTCGTTATAATCAACATCTAGTCATTGTGTGTATTCTTGAGACAAAAGTCATGCCTTTAACTGTTCAACACCACCATCTACCTTTTTCTTAACCCTGTAAACCTATTTAGAACCAACAATATTAGCAATAGAATGACATAGTACAAATGTCCATGTGTTATCAATGTCGATTTGACCCATTAGACCCATATTCTCTAATTGAAGTTTGAACACACTACGTTTTTGTGTGCAATGCAAATTGATCTAGTTTGAACTATTGCCATTGCAAGGACTAACAGATTCATCCCAATCGTTAAGGGAAGTGACATTGGACATGGAGTTCTTGAACTTGATGAGAATCTTGGCCTCAGTGGCACCCCATGATGCACCAACGAGGTAGAGCAATGATATGATCATTGGTAGCAGGACACAGAAATGTTGTTTCATTGGATCTATGGAGGTCTAGCGGCATGAACATCGAAGGAACTAAGAATTTGATGGAAATTATGGACAAAATGTGAGATTTGACAAATCCGTCCTAGTAATACCTGAGCTATTGTAGGCCTCTCATGTATGGTCTAATTATTTGGTGTTTTTTTTTTAATTAACTTCCCGATATCTGAAAGTTACATTGGATCCTGATTAATTTAAAATCAAGTCGCAGTAGATCTCATAAGGGGGAAGTTCTTTTAATATCTGTTTCTTTATTCATAAGACTCAAATTCGAAACCTTATTTAAGAAAACCAAATTATTTAGTGTTATTACTCCTTTATTAAAACAAATCATTCTTGGCTCATGCAAATATGAAAACATTGACTTTGTATACATGTGAAAGTTATTTGAGAGTAGTTTTCTCATGCAAATATAATAGGGACAATGATTGGTGCACACCCGGATCCAACACCCGGATGTGCACCTCCCACATAAAAAAAAAAAAGTTGGACCGGATGATGGGCATTTTTTTTTTGTTTATATGATGTGTGCACACCCAGGTGTTGGATCCGGGTGTGCACACATCATTTTCCATATAATAGCATTGCCTTTGAGTACAATTCCGTCTGTGTCAATGTTGGTGTTGATGCGGCCCCCTACTTTTGAATCAAAATGAGGACTTAATTTCTTTTACCTTTATGACACATGGCAATCCTTTCCCCAACAGCAAGTTTAGAACTTGAAAACAGTTGATCTAATTTGTGATCATGAATGGCTTGACGTGTGATTTAAAATTTATTTTAAAATAATGGTAATTTTATATATTTTAAAAGAAATAAATATTTTGTTATCTTAATCTCATTATTATATCTTAATTTTAGTTAACTATCCTATTGATTTAAGTTTTCATCATTTTTTCAATTTTTTTAAGGGTAATATAGGTAAAAATAAAAATTATTTCTAAATTTTTAATATAAAGATAAAATCAAGATGCATTTACTATTCTGATATGGAGGGAGTGAGATATAATTAAATTTTAATTTAAACTATTATATAATGTTGAAGATTTTAAAAGGTAAATTGGTATTTATTTGATATTTTAGAGGGACTTTGAAAGGTTCATTTGGTATTTATTCGAAATTTATTAAAAAGTTTAATAAGTTTTATAATACCATAAAATATAATTGAGTTTGGACTTTAAAAACTCATTGGATATTTATTTAGTATTTATTGAAGATTTTAAAAGGTTCATTGTGTTTTTATTCTAGATTTTTTAAAGATTTAAACAATTTTTATAATATAATAAAACACAACTGTGTTTGGATTTTAAAATGTCTATTAGATATTTATTTAATATTTATTGAAAATTTTAAAATACTCTTTGAGTATTTATTCAAGATTTATTGTAAATTTTAATTATTTTTTTAATATAGTAAGATTACAAGATGATCAGAATTTCTATGGGCTATAGTTATTCTTTATTATTAAAATTACAATATCAAAAAAGCATGTAGAGATATTATTATTGAAAATATTATTCAGTTCATATTAAAATATAATTAAAGAAGTTAAAGTCAGGTTGAAGTAGAATTGGATTTAAAAGAAAAATCATTATATTGAAAGTATAGTTGAGTTTGGATTTTAAAATCTTTATTAGGTATTTATTGAAGATTTTAAAAGGCTCTTTAGGTATTTATTTAGTATTTATTAAAGCTTTTAAAAGATCCATTAAGTATTTTTTCAATATTTATTAAAAATTTATTAAGAATTTATTGAGGATTTATTCAGAATTTATTAAATAATTTAACAACTTTTATAGAAAAATAATTTATACACCTTCCTATTTAACATATTTTTCAACATATATTTGGTTCAATCATTAAAATATAATATAAATATAACTAATTCATCCAATTTCTGCATGCTGTATGTGTGGCTACATTTTGAAGTTTGTTTGTCTTTAATTTCATGTTAGAGAATAATAATTTTTTTAATGAATGTATTATATAATATGTTGAATTAAAAAATATACCACTCATTATATCCTTTTTAAGAAAAGATAGTAAGATTTGAATTCAATATGTGAAAACTTAAAGTTTCATATTTTAAGGACTGAAGCAGTAAATAATGGCAAATATGTTAAACCAATAAATATCAACGAGTGTGTTAAATCAAAACATATACCAATTGTTTTCTCTTTTTAGAGGCCTCACCTGCAACTTTTCTCACCACCAGAACGACGGATATGGTTACACGTACTCCCGGTTACTAATTGGAGCAGGATAAGTAACTAGTTGGAATGGCATATTGATGAGAGCAGTAGGAATTGGTTGGTTAACGGGGTTTGAAATTGGTGGATCTAGCTTTACCGTGCACTTTTATTTATAGGCAAAGCTCTTATGCTTGTCCATGAATTGTGTAATATCTTGAATCTCACGTCGAAAAAAAAGTAAAGAGAGTGTGAATGATGATATATATATAGATTAAGTATTATTAATAACTTAAATTTTTTTTAAATCTATAAATTTTGACTTAAATATTTATTAAACTAGTAATAAGTTTTGATCAAAATTGTTTCGTATGGATAACTATGCATAAGTTTCGAATAATTGAAGGCAAATTCTGATATTCCTGCAAAGGGTGCGAACGCTTGACTCGATGCGTATGGTGAGATGATGTAATATGCGCACATGACATCACAATTACAAATTAAGGAGATGGAGAGATTATGTCAAGATCAATAATAACCAATGATTTATTGATCTAAACGAAAAAAATTTAATTTTTTAGTAAAATTTTAAATTTAAATTTTATAAATAAAAAAATAAATATTAAAAAATAATTTTTATGAGATCTAACTTGATTTAATTTTAAATTAATTAAAATTAAATGTAACTTTTAAATATCAAAAAATTTACTTAAAAAAAATAAAAACAA